CCCTAACCCTAACCCTAACCCTAACCCTAATCCTAACCCTAACCCTAACCCTAACCCTAACCCTATCAGATAGTTACCAGGGTACGTTCCGGCAGTACCCTGGGGGACATAGACCCTATCAGCGTTAGTTTTTATAAAGGAAAGTCGATATTATACAGTGACACAACAGTGGAACTGTAATTGAGAGGTACGGTAGTATTGCTCATAGGGTCCATGTCCCCCAGGGTACTATCTGAGGGTACCCTGGTAACTATCTGATAGGGTTAGGGTTAGGGTTAGGGTTAGGGTTAGGGTTAGGGTTAGGGTTAGGGTTAGGGTTAGGGAGTAGGCGTAGGCGACTCCCTAGACTCGTTAGTGGAGTAGGCAAGGTACGGTCCTGCATATTAGATAGTACCAGGGTACGTTCCGATATATCGAACCGTACCCAGGGTACCCTCCGATAGTACCCTGGGCCTGGGGCACATAGACCCTCTCAGCGGTAGCACTAGTAGTAGTACTACTAAGTACTACTACTAGTATAAATTTGTGAATGTGCGTTCATATTATTTTCAGTTTTTACTGACTCTGTCCCAAGCTCCCAAGTGCCTGTGTTCTTCATGATCCCAACATATACACATAACTACGCGTCTAACACAACATATACTAGTTATGAGCTATAATAATTATGCTGAAGAAGTGAACATACAATAACAACTCTGGCTAAAATTAATAACAAAACAAGGAAGGAGCTTACCTTGACGACTTGCGAAGTTCTATCGTGGTTCTATTCTCCGTTTGTCGTCTTTCTTTAGTTCGTAAAACGTACACCAGGCGGCTGAAGTAAAAGAGCATACCTGTCTAAATCGTAATGACAAATGACAATGACAAGGAAGGATACTAATCGGTAATCCTGTTTATAAGTGATCACGCAGTGATTATTACTTCATATATTGTCACGCTGGATACTAAACAATTTACAGATGAACTTCAGCTCCAACCCAGTAAGCCTACCAAATCTTACGTAAATAATCGTGACAGCACAAAATGATGAAAATCTCACTATTAACGCCGTAAATACAAAATTACAAATTACAATAATGTCAACAATCAACATTCAATCATTATAGGGCCTGGGCTGAGGCCCCGGCCTAGCTTCAAGAAACGGTATTGCTAGGGTTAGAATACCGTATAGACAATGTATAGACAATCCGTCACACAGCCTGGTCTAGTCCGCAAATGCTTTGCTAATCTGAGGGTGCGGGTTTATCGGTTGCAGTCACCCTTGTAAAAATTGTTGCAATTTTTGTTGTGGGCATTGGATAGGTGAATCGAATAGCACTGAGGGCGTGACGGGGGTATATCCGACCCAAAATATCAAGTACAGACCTTCTGTTTGTCAATATCGCTTTCCGAAGACTATCTCCGTTTCAGAACTTTGTTTTCATGCAATAATTCATCCTAGTCAGAGTAACTTCGATATTTTTGGCCATATTAGACCGATTTTTTGATCGACCAATGAAATTCACTTCCGGTAGCCTCGGGTTCACTCGGAAATAATAATTCGAAATAATAATAGATGGCGCGGATCTATGGCGCGGATCGGGAATAGCCGAAGTAACCGGAAGTGATTTTCATTGGTTGACAAATGTGAATGAAGACAGAACATTTTCTTTGGATGTTTATATTTACCATTAGGTTAACAACTTGATATATTCTTATGTTGTGGCCGCTACCAGGACATCATAGCGTGCATGCGCGTAGATAAATGATTCAAGTTCAGATTAAAGTAAGTTCCACGCAATAGGATTGTATATATCGGGCACATATATTACTTATAAGTGCCACCTCCAAACTGGAGGTGGCTTTCCGTGATTGAGATGGACGCAGCCGCAGACCCCATTACTGCGGTCTGCATCGGCTCGGACTACTGCAAGGTAGGCCTATTTATAGTTGGCCTTAATCAAAAACAAACGTTTGCGTAAGTGCTATTGACATTATATTCCCAACGTACATAATCTCATATAGAGAATGAAGTTCATATATGATTTAAGGTGCGTAAACGTTGTTCAAGTAAGTTTTGCAAGTCTTCCACGATCTCACAAGTACCATCAAACACAGTTCAGTCCGTTGTTAATAGTCAACAAATCCATGTTTAACCCTCCTCTTGAGGGTCAAAAGGTTATCAGACACTTACTCTTCGCACGTCAGTGGAAAGCACATTTCATAGTCCTTTCAATAAAGTGATGAAAATGGTAGGTCAGTGCTGAAACAAAAAAGTTTTTCACTCTGTCCGTTAGGCCATGTCCTCAGAAAATGTCTGATATCTGACCCTTTGCTCCACTGCCCTTTGACCTGTGACCTCCAATTTCGCACTGGTGATGGGTTTCCTGCCCATCACACTATCCACCAAATATTAAGAGCATAGGTCGAGCCGTTCAGATTTGTGCCGCAATTCCGTATTTTCTCCTATACCTTAAGTTGAGGAGGAAATATTTCCCCTCCGTTTACACATCTTGACCTTTGACCCTTGACCCCCAAATTGATCATCCCGAGTCCTTTTCACGATCCCCCCCGACGTCCCGAATATCGTGACCGTACGTCGAGCGGTTAAGATTTGTGCCCAACTTGACGGACGGACGCACGGACGATCATGCGATTCTACAAGCTGCATCTGACTTCGTCAGATGAGCTAAAAAGGGCACGTAACCAGTCTAGTTATCAGATAGGCAAACCCCAGAAGTCTGTGAGCGTCAACAACCTGTCTGCCATAGTGTCTATTGGAGTTGGTTTTTAAAATTATCTCGTGGATATCAGTTGTTTACCGAACCAGTCTGCACGAAAAACTTCCACCCTCATTGGCCCAGCGGGACCGTCAAATGTATAATTCACTGGCCCGCACTAGGTTTTACAGGCCCGAATCATATTATGAAAAGAGAAACAGAACTCTTTGGTGTATTCTTAGAGATTTATTCTTTCATGAAATTGAACAAAAAATTATCCACTTCCCTCTCCCCCATCTCATTGTCACTGCCATCATACTCATCATCATCACACTCATTCATAATCAGAAAGCTCATTTCGACTTTGAATAGTAATATAGCCAACACGTTCAAGGCCACGTTGAAAACCAGAACCGGAAACCAGAAGTTTTTCCGACCACTAGCGGCGACAAACACGCATGGTGTTGACTAGTTACTTCCCCTACTTAAGATCGGGAATATGATGCCCTATCGGTAAATATCGGTAAATTTTCATACAAAATATCGGGAATTTTGGTAAATTCTCAGACTGATCATCACATAAAGAAGCTGAAATATTATTAATAGACCATTTACTCCATTTTTTTCCACTGGCCCATCGGGCTTGTTCATTTACCAGTTCCATTGGGCCTACGGAAAATTTACTGGCCTCGGATACCGGGCCAGTGGTTAATTTCGCAGACTGCCGAACAGTTGGTTTGTAGTTGGTTGGTTTTAGAAATCTTCAAATAGATTAACAACATAATAACAGGAGATGATATAATAACATTAATCACCCCTGATAATAACATTCGATATATAATTGACATGCACACGCGACCACACCCACAGCTTCAGCACTTTGGCACAAGTTGGAAATTACCAGACGGATGTATTACGTAATGGTCTAGTAATAATCTACTAATAAAAACGGGAAAATAGTGCTATTCCACGGCAATATTATTCTACTTTGCCTGCGAGTCTAGAATAATTTTATGGTATTACATTAAGCAGAATTCTTTGCTCTCTAAAACAAGACCAACCGCTTGTCAATACGATACACCTAGCCTGAGATATTGGCTCGTAAACTTCCCCTCCCACAGGCCTCACGACGCCTCACATCCACAATATTCACTATCGTTCTCGCCTTTTGCAGGTTAGGAAAGTCGCTTCGTGAGAGTTCGGTTTTCTCCGAGATAACTTTATGAATGAACGGCGTTTCGGTTATCATCGGTGACTTTCGGGGGCATCGCCTATGCCCTTATCTCCCATTATCTTTCCTAGCACGGCTAATGCCCATCATGATGGAGCCGGCAATGTTTTCTAAATTAAGTCTCTACATTCTACAACGCAGCTCAGTTACTACATGGTGTAGTAAGAGTACCAAATTTGGGCATGTGACATCAATTATTAGCGCTCCAAGCGGCGACGGAAAACGATAGTCAGACCAGTATTTATTAGCTCTTATTATTATTAGACAGGTAT